CTTCTGAGGCTTTGCTCTGGCAAAGCCTCAGAAGCGCGGGAACCCGCCCGGTGCCCCTGGTCTGCTGGAGACGGTCTCCAGCAGACCAGGGGCACCGGAGCAGCTTACGAACGGGGCTCTCTCGCCCCGGAGGTCGCAGGTAGCAATCCGCTACCTCGACCTCCGGGGCGAGAAAGCCCCGTTCGTAAGTGCGGATCCGACATAAGTCGGATCCACGTAAGTCGGGGACTGCCTGTACTCAAGTCAACTTCTTAAATTTGGTTTCTATTAAATTTCATCATCAATACAAGGGGGGGGGGAGATAATGGGGATTCAGCATCTTCCATGATCTCAAAAGGCTTTAGAATAGGAATGTTTTCTTTCTGTTATTCAGGCAGTGAAAGTAATGGTCAGCATTTAAGCAACTTGCCCAAGGTCATGCAGCAAGTCAGTGGCAGTAGCTGCAAATATGGCTCTGGTCTCCTGATTCCCAATCTTTTGGAGCTAGCCACTACAAAACACAGCCTCTCAAAATGACAGCCATCTGACCCTGTTATTAATATTGTGTAAACTATATGAATGCAACCAAAGCAGTAAACATTCACCTTTGCATTTTCACTGTCTTACAGTATTCACTGTATATTTTCCAGTTACCTTGTCTGACTACATTTCAACTTCAACAGATTTTTCCTCCTTGCCATGGAAGTATCAAACAAAACCATTACAACAGCTGATTTTAGTTCAGAGACATTACACAGGAACTTATGGCTAACAGATTGTTACAGATTAGACTAACACCTTTGCAACACTTGTATCATTTCCAGCGATTATTAAACTGAGTGAAATCTCTCATTACACATATTTGACAACCAGGCACGTCTATTCACTGTTGTCATTAACAATGGGTAGATGTAGGTTTTCGTTTTTTGCAGCAGAATGTACATTAAGTACTGAATAAAAGGTAACCAAATATCGAATTCCAAATTAATACAAAATAAATATGTCTAGAATAGACAACATTACTAAAGTCATTTTACTTACATTTATTAACGTGATTTA